GAGAGCTGAAAATCATGCTGATTTTAATCGGTCCAACTATTTTCAATCAGTCAGACTGTTGGGCCCTCTAGACCAGCATTGCTTACATTGACCACCCCGTGTTATCCAGAGATAGAGAAGGTTAAACCTAAGACCTTCTGCATCCAGAGCATGCACTCTCCCACTGAGTTATTTATTCATTACATTTTATACCACTCAATAGCTATTTCTATACATTTCCTATTAATTTCTGGAGTAATCTGTGCCTTGGTGACTCTTTGCCTAAGTTTGCCTAAGAGTTATGCTTTCTGGTTTTTGAAGCTTTTGTTCCCTAAAGGCCAGGTGTTAGCATCTGGCAGTATGAACATAAGGGAGAAAAAGGCAAGGTGCTTGGTTCCAGATCCTAGCCCATGTTGCAGCACTGAGCCCTGACTTCACGCAGGCACATACGCACTGGTTCTGGTGCTAAATCCTAGTGAACCTAGGCTTAATTTGTACCTCGCTTAACTCTGGGCTAAGAATGGGGTAGGCTGAAACTAAATTCAGAGATGCAGACAAATAAAGGTCTGAACATGTTTCACTCCGTCTGGCATCTGTGACAATGTTTTTGGACAGTTTGCAGGTGTGTGTGTGTGTGTGTGTGTGTGTTGTGAGGTCTCATTGTGCTGTTTTCAGATTGCATTCCCCCCCCAACCTGCCCCCCCTCCCATCCTTGCTCAAATTGCTGCTGGATTTATAGTGGCAGCTGCAAATTATACATCAGTCCTGCAGTGATCTTTCTATTTTAATTTCCTGGTAAAATAAACTACATAAATTTAAGAAAGGAGTAAGAGGAGTGCGGAGAGAAGGCCGCTTTATTGGGCAGGGAGTAAAGGTAAAGATATGGCTATTGCTCGCTCCTGATCTCAATTGACAGGCGGTATTTTGGTATTAAAACTAAAAAAAAGAAAGGTCCTTGCTGACAAATTGACTGCAAACAGGTCTCAGGGGATGAATTGACTGAACCAATATTGCCAGGTGCCATGTCAGTTTCTATCCTTCCCACTATTTATTATTTAATAAACAGGCAATTGTTCCTGTTCGCCAAGCACAAATTGTGAAGGTGTCTAATCTATTTTAAAGTATCGTGCGCGTATGTGTGTGGAGTGGTAGGGGGAGTTAACCCTTTTATTCCAATGTTCATTTTCCAATTACAATCTATACTGCTATTTAAGGAGAGGAAGATCTTTATTCTAGTCTTGGAGGGGAGGGGAAGAGAGGAAAAAATAAAGCATTATGAAGCACAAGTCATACCAAGCACTACCTGGAGGAGAGGAGGAAAAGATTCAGATTAAAAGAAGTCAGTGTCCCAATCCATGGAGTTTTCTACTTGTGCACCAGTGAGGAAAAAACTTAGAACTTATGCTTGAGAATACTTTTACTATCCAAATATTACAGTTAATTAATAGTCGGTGGGGTTTCTTGTTTTTGTTTTTAGTGGCAAGGGAGATAGAACAGTGATATAACATTAAAATCACTGAAGGGCAATGTGAAATTGGCTGTGTTACACAATAACAAGCCAACAAAACAACTACAATCAACACAATGAGGGGCAAATGGAACTCCCCCAAATATAATTGGTTTAAGATCAGTGGGGCAAGATTCATTGTGTTGCGGACCCCCCACACCTGGCACAGTTAAAATAGATTATTTTGGCCAGTTTCATGGCAAAACTGACAAAAATAACCTATTCTAGTTTATCAAGTAGGTTTTAGTTAGAACAATGGAAGGATGAAATTAGCAGCACGTGCTTTCTTAGATATGTTCAGAAAGCAGGCCCAAATCACTTATGGAGCAGTTTAACTCTGTAGAGCCCAGTTCTGCCCTACATGCCAAGATGCCACTAGGACAAACTCACCCATTACGGATACTGCACATGTTGAGCTGTGTTCCATCCATAGGGTGTAAAACAGTGTGTGTACATATAACACACATGCACCATTTAAAATTTTTAATTGTAGTGTTTTCCAAAGCATTTTGCTGGATCAATATGCAAATATGCATATTGATTCACTGAAGAGAGCTGACAGTTACTTTCTCCTGAGATACTGTTTTTATTAGAATGGGTGGCTTGTTGAAGGATAACAGGGATGCATTTTTAAAACTTCAGATAAATGGCTTATTTATTTTATCATGCAGGAAAAGCTGAGATGAGACATGTCTAGTTTAACCTTATCCATTTAATAATTGGGTAACCTGGGCAGGCACTTAAAAAAGAGCATGTAAAATTTTATTTGAAAGCCCTCTTCCAATGAATAGCACTGAACTCCTGCCTTTGGGACTTATGAAATAAAATGAGAATTGAGTGACTATTTTCTAACAATTTATTTATTCAATTTAATAAATTGAAGATGGGAGTTTCTTGAAAACTTTCCAGCTACCTGCAGCTTCAGAATGGTTGCTAATAAATATAAAGATGAGGCAAAGGTCATGTAAGCTGGTTTATTGAAAGCTAACTGAAGAAGTAAAACAATACGGAGATGTTTTTGAAGTGCAGAAAAATGCTTTTGTGGGGGGGGGGATTCCTTTTGCATGCAAGAGGATACTGAAATAATTGGTCCACATGTGGCATTCATTTGGCATTTTTAAAAATAACCCCTCCTTTTCAGGTTCATAACCCTGTGGTGAATCAGGATTTTAGTGAGCATCTCTTCGTGCAGACATTTCATCTTACAGATATTTATGTATAAAGTAAATCATGTTTACTCACACCAATTGGCAAGAGTAACATACCTATGTGTATATTAAAATCTCTCTCTCTCTCTCTCAGTATGAGGTGTGTGTGCGTGATGACTAGGCAAGTTATGTATTATGTAGATAACAGTGGTTATAAAGATATTATCTCTAGATAACTATATATTTACTGCTCAATATAGAATTAAAATCAGCCCATGAGACATTCTATATGCAAAGGATAAAATATAAGACTCACTTTCTCAGTACAGCAACTTCACATCACTGAATACTTCATGGTTATAATGCAGATATGTGTGTGTGATTATTTAGCATTTAACATATAAATTAAACATGTTTGTGTATTTAGTATTATGCTCATTATAGATCTTGGGTAATAAAATGCTACTTTATGTTCCAGTACATACTGGCATCCATTGCACTATGTTAATATATGTGTGTATAAGAAACTAGGTAAACACATATTTATTTGTAATATTTTTAGAAAATAAAGATATGCAGTGGCAATTTCAATATGTGATAAAATACTCATGCATAGTACAATTATATATTTTGTTAAGCAAGCATTTTAGAATGAGAACATGCATAACTTTACTAAATGCATCATTCAATGAATGCCTCTTATAATTTTATTATAGTAAACTTAAAGTTCACCCACTATTGCATAATTAGAAGGAAAAAATGATTTTATATCTTTGACTTATTTACTTACAGTCTCATAAGCTCCATTCACATAATTCTCAGAAATCGGATAGATTCTACTTCCTCTTTCATGATCCGTGCAAATCCTATCAAACTTCACTAACTAGAGATACAGGATTTAGGGGAATTTAGGAGAGTGCTGCTCTGGCTGGTGGATGTGATGTTGTGCAAAGTTGGCATTTCAGTTTTCACTGCAAGCTGGCAGGTCGTATTTGTTTAGTTATAACATTGTGAAGTAAAGTTTCTTACTGGGTTCACATAAGCAATATTTAAAAGGAAACAGCTGCCCCTCCTGCCCAAACTAGAGATATATGTACATGGAAATCACAATTCGTTAAGCTTGCTCTGATCCTTTATGAACTGAGGCTCTCTGCCATCCTAAAATTGTGAATAGAATTGTTTTCCATATAGTCAGTTGCTTTTTATTATATCCACAAATTTCAAAAACCTTACTTAAAGAGAGAGAGAGAGAAAAAAGAACAACCACTTCAAAGCATGAAGAGGAGGGGCAGGTATTTGGATCCCAAGGCTTTTTCCAATTCAAGGAAAAATTATTTGACTGACAGCAATGCTAGACTGCAAATCTAAAGGGATTTCTTTTCTTTTTTTTTAATGGGAGAAGAGATGTTAAATGAATCTCAGTGGGAAATGGTACCTGATATGCATTTTTCATTTAAGCCTTCTCTCTCTCTCTCTCTTTTCCTCCGAGAACACTTTATATTAGAATCAATGACTGTTTATAAAGACAGGGTTATTTTAAAAACTCTGTGGTGCCTCTGATGAATAAATCATGTAAAGCTTTGTAATACTGATATACTGGTATTGTTTAAATTAATAGAAAGCCTGCCTGGGAAGTAATAACTGCACAGAATTGTTGTTTTAGCTCAAAAGTACTCTGTAGTTAGAGGAATTATCACCCCCTTCTAACTCTGAGTAAAGGCTACCTGCTTGGTCTTTCTGAAAAACTACTAATTCATACTGCGATCCTACACATACTTCCACCTGGAAAGAAGCCCCATTGAACTCAATGAAACTTTGAGTATACATGTGTAGGATTTCACTGTCTGTCCCTGAATTAGATGGGATATGGCCCAAGCACATTACTGAGAAGGTTCTTTACAAATAGAAAATTTAGGAATTGCCAAGTTTGGGGACCTGTTGCTATGTATTTGCATGCAAGGGGTAAGAGATACGCGGTGAATTAATTTAAAGGTGAGTGGGTGGAGCAAGGGCATTAAAGGGGAGGAGTTAACAAGGGTGGGTGTGGTTAGTAATTGAAGTGGGAGGGGCCAGATGTTTAGTCAGGTAGAATGGGGAGCAGTAGGGGAAGTGGGGCACAGTCACCAGAGAGTCTAGAAGTGATACTGTGAATGTAGATGAAATTGTAGATGAAATTGGCCCTTCTGTTTGCAGTTGAAATGGGAAGAAACAGAGGGCAGTTTTGGTAGGTTGGCTAGGAAAAGTGAAAGGGTGTGGCTTGCATGCAGCATGGGAGGGGACACAGGCATATCTGCAGAGAGAGAGAAACAAGCAGAGGATGGCCTCAGGAAGGCCGGCTTAGAGGGTAGGAGGGAGCATCACCTTACCTGCCCATTTTTCATCAGGTCTGCCCACATGCTGGTGCCATCGCCACCACGCATGAGCACATGGTAGGTGAAGAAGTAGATGCCAGGGAGAGGGCAGGTGAACTTGCCACTGGACGGTTCATAGTAGTTCCCCACATTGGTCACCACGTCATCAAAGCGTAGGATCTCGTACCCTTCGTGTGGTTTCTTCAGTCCTGCATAAAAGGCGATCTTAGGGCTGTAGAAGGATGGGATGTAACCCCCAGGCCCCGGACCAGGCGGGCCCGGGGGTCCAGGCCTCCCTGGCTCTCCGGCTGGCCCTCTGGGCCCTGGTGGCCCTGGTGGCCCTGGTGGCCCGCGGATTCCAGACTTGCCTCTCCTGCCCGGGTCTCCTTTCCCTCCAGAGATGTAAGGAGGCGGTGAGATGACGGCCAACTCCTGGCTTGCCTCTGCCGAAGCTGCCCCGTGGGTTTGGGGTGTGTAGGGGTCACACACCATCCGGCAGCTGCCCAGCATCTCATAGTGGGAAGTGGTTTTGGAGCTGTGCACCAGCAAGGGGATGGCCACCAGGAGAACCAGCACCATGGCCACCCCAATGGCGGCCCCAATGACCCTTTTTTTCCGGCTCAGCCTGGAGGCGGCCAGGGTTAAGAAATCGTCTTCACTTTTGGAGGTAATGGTGGATGTTTCTCTGGGGTCCACAATCACCCGGATGGAGGTCCCGGCTTGAGTTCGCTTTGAGTGATGCTCCACTGTGATGCTGTGTCCTTTGGAAAGGAAGCACTTGTTGAAGGGTAAGGCAAACTCCGTCCCAAGTTGCCCAGCTCTGCTACTTTCTCTGCCTTTTCTCCACGAGGTATCGGCTTCTTTTTACAGGAGACACTTTGGCTGGCTCATGCTTCACTGAGAGCAGCAGCAGCAGCAGCAGCAGCAGCAGCAGCAGCAGAAGATGTGTTAGGGGTGGAGATGGCTCGGAAGGAAGAGTGTGTGTGTGAATATGTAAGTAGTATATATATTTGCCTTCTTTTCTCTTCTCCACTTGAGAACTCAGCTGGTGACCGTGTAGCAGCTCCAGGCTCCTTGTGCCAGATCATATGGCCATCAACAGAAAACCAGAGGGGGGGGGGGGGAGAGAGAGAAAGAGAGAGAGAGAGAGAGAGATTTCCCAACAACCAGTTCATCCAGCACCCCTCCCCACCACATGCAAAACCTTTCCCACAAACTCAAGAAGAGAAGATCTGACTGAGCTGCCCAAGATGCAAAAAGTAACTCTAAGTCGACCAGAGCGACCTCTGGTGCTTTGCAGAGGAGGCAAGGCTCAGCCACTGAGAGAGAAGAGCCTGGAGCCTGGAAGTGTCTCATCCCATCCATAGCAGCTGGGCATCCTGCTCGCATTTGCATGAGCCGGGGCGGCTGGTCGGGAGCTTGGGGGGCCAGAGGCCTCCATCCTCAGTTGCCGCTGGCGGGGATCCATGTGGACAAGCATCACTGTCACCTTTCTGTGAGGAAAAAGCACTCCTCCAGAAAGATGGGCACACTGTCAGTTGCCTCGCCTGGGCACTTGCATCGCTGCGTGGAATGACAGCAGTTGGACTCGGTGCTCACACTGCTCCTCACCCCCGTCTGTCCGTCCGTCCATCCGTCCGTCCGTCCGTCCCCTGGACTGTGCTCACTCTGCCTGCATCCCAGCCAGCCAGCCAGCCAGCCAGCCAGCCAAGCAGCCCCCAGCCCCGCTGGCATTTAGAGTCATGTTTAAGGATGTGTTTTATATGCTGGGGTTGTATCATTTCCCCCATGCAATTAAGTGCTTTACCTTTGTGCCTCCTTTGCCTCTCTCAGCGGAGATTGATTAACAGCTGACAGATCCAGCAGGAATCTCCTGGAGGGGCTGCAGGCTCTCACATTCATTAATTAATCAATTATTCCCCCCTCTCCCCAAACACCCATCACATCCACGCGCGCGCACACACACACACGCACGCACGCACACTGTACAGCGAGTGGTGCCATATGCTCTAGTGATTCAGTTTTGTGAGATGATATAGAGAGTGGGATGGGGTGGGTGAGGACGCATATTTGAAACTTATAGATGTATACCAATTAAAGGGGTGAGATGAACTAACAATATGTGCAGAAGGAAGAGAGAGTCCTCTTTGTGCATCCTGCTCTCTCTTTCTCTCTGTAACTGCTAGTACCTTGTATGTGGCTATCATTAATGAATGTACACGGAAGATGGATGTGTGAGTAATTAAGGTGCACACACACCTCAAAGAGAGCAGATGACATTTGTCATGTCTTTGTGTCAATCTATAATGATGCATTTGCATATGTGTATCAGCTGAGAGATGCATGCATGTTTAAAGCATGTGGGTTATGGATATGCTTGTCTGATGTATGGCTGTGCGGGAACACAGGGCTCGTGTTCACAATCAGGAGATACAAATTTTAAAGGAGAGGAAAGGATTATATATGCACACCTGCTTAAACACACACCTGTGTGTAAAAAAGAGAAACAGTTTAAATTTAAGCCAGTTGAATTGCTTCATGGATTGTAAGAGATTTTGGATCAGGCCCCCATAGCAGGGGTGCATTTTATTAAAAACATATTGCAAAAAAGGGCCAAACCTATTTCACCTTTCACCATGAGGCTGCAATTAGCATTTCTGTCATTAGGCTGTTACAGAGATATTATGAATTGCTTTCTCTCTTTGTAGGTGTTGACACTGGATGCACATTCTCTTGTCTTTCTGTCTGTCCACAGTTTTTTGCATCGGCAGACAATCCAGTGCAATACTTTATTTTTTGTTAGACGTTATGCGGGGAGTAGTCCACCAGCAGAATAGAAAAACAGGAATTTTTTCATGCTGAATCTATGTAATCATGGGTCATCAAAAATATCTAGGAGAATGTGACCAGCATTTCATATGTCTGCTTAGAAAGAAATATTATTTGTGAACACAGTAATATTTGAATAGATACTTTTTCATGGACATATTTAAGGATTTATTTAAATCTGAATGTGCAAAATTGTGTGTCAGTGAGAGTCAGAGAACGATGGCAGCCAGTTTTATAAATATATACCAAATACAAATACACCCTATGCATCTTCTTTGCATCGAACTACAATACATAGGTACTTTTCTGAATAAGGGGGCGTGAGTGGGTTTCAGAGGCGCTGTTCTGCCCTTTCTTTCCTGTTCGGTTCTATTCTGAGTTCGTCAGTTGCTGCGAGGAATCTAATGTGGGGTTCAGATGGAAATTTCACAGCATGCCTTTCCAGAACATAAGCCACTTTGCTCTCTACTGCACAGTGTACTTTTCAAGTTTTTTTATTTGTTTATTTTTTTAGGTACATCCTTGCTTTTGCTTCAGTTGTATCTGGAAGGAACTCAGCTGAAAGAGAAGCAGAGTCTTGGGGTATTGGGTCAATGCACCTGTGGAATTTTGAAAGCTAGAATAGCATTGCTGCCTTTCTGGGCCAGGGAGGGAGGGTGGGTGGTGCTGCAGACAGATCTCCCTGCAGTGTGGGAAAGCCCCTTGTTTGCAGTGCTGCTTGGCAGGGGACCCTTGGGTGTTCAAACACTGTGTGGCTAGGGGCCTCCGCTGGATCCCCGCTCCCCAAAGGGTGCCTTGTGCAACTCCATCCTGTATACTGAGCCTGTGTCACTGTATGCATGTTAGTGCATTTCTCTGAACTGTCTTCAATTTTTCTATCTTGCCTGTCTTAGTTGAAGGGCTGTTGCGCAGGGTTGATGTTATCATTGTGCAAAAAGAATTTCAAATATTTAAATGCCAAGACAACCAGCCTTTGTCAGGATCTTTGTGAGTTTATCAGTGTTGGTGATGTGCTGTTGATTAGCTTTCATGTGTGCATGTTTATGTGTGTGTGTGTAAATCCATATTTTTGTGCGATATGGATATACATGTTTGCCTCTGTGTTCTTGCTAGCTGGATATATGTGTTAATCTTATTTTAATATTTCTTTTATTTTTATTTAAAATTTATTTTAGGAAACCCTCCTAGGTACTTGTAGGCATACACACACGCACTGTGTGTATTGGGGTCAGTTCATGGCAATGTATGTCTCTGTGCACAACTTTTTAACAATGATTTGTTCTCTTGTTTGTGACAAAACCAAGTCATCTCAGAACTCTCCTTTGCTGCAGTTCACCCAGAAGGCAACAACCCAAAGCATCCAATACATCTCAATAGCAACATGTCCCTGCCCCTAGGTGCTGTCATTTACTCTCCCACATTTTCTTAACAGAGGAGTAGGGCTGTCTGATTTATGGCTGCTCTTTTGCTATCTTTACTGGATTTTAGGTTCTTTACTGAATATTGCTCCTTTATGCAAAATTTAGCTTTTGCCCTTGGAGTTCCCAGGAGCCTGAATTTCCTTCAAAATGGATTATAATCTGCATTTTCTGATCAATTTAAAAAGAGAAAGAAACCAGAAAAATACAAGACTGTGTGCTGCCTTGCCAACCTTCTCCTCAGAATAGTTGTTCAGATGTGAGCAGGTTTGTTTTGGGGGGTGCAGGGAGAAGGGATATCTGCACTCGCAAAGGTAATATCCAGACACTTAGAAGGTTTCCTGAAACAAGAGATGAAGCTGCATCTTGCACCGATAGGTGTGCTTCGTGGGGGCCTCTATATATGTGCTTGCCTCTGTGCAGAAACAGAAATGTATTTGTTCCTGCCTGAACCTTTGCATGTACCTTTTAGCCCATGTGTGTTAACTTCAGTGTGCACACAAGCATGTGTATTTACTTGCTGGTCTTTGTGTATGTTCTCTTGTCAAGCTGTATGTTACCTTGAGAACATCATCATATTTGTGCACTGTTCAATGGTTTTTGTCTTGGGGTTTTGCACTAGAGTCTTCCTGCAAAATACTTTCCCCCTATGTATGGGGTCAGATTTCTTAAGAGATTTTATATGTTCGCTGCCATGTGTTTCTGTCCATGTCCTTGCATGGGTCTGTAGTAAATCTTCCCCTGGGATGACGTGGATGAATTAGTTACACGATACCACATTTTTTTTTATTTATGCATGCTTTGTCATGTTGCATTGCTCTTTTTGTCTCTTGCAGCTCCAGCCTCCTCTGTATGCCTGTCTTTTTGTTGGTATATGCCCCTTCTTTAGCTTGCTGGGCTTTTGTGTGTGAAATTTTGTTGTGCTTAAACTGTATGTACCCTTGGTTGGATCACATTTCTTGCTAAATTATTTGTGCCTCCACACAGGTATGGCAATTGATCTAGGTTCCGGCACATTGATAATTCCTAAAATTAGTCAGTGTACATATGCCTTTATGGTCCCTGGCTCTGCTTGTTGTCCCATCTGAGCAGCCCTGTTTCCTCCACCTTTCCAATTGTATGTGTAATTTACTGGTATCATTTTAAAATTTGCAGTCCTGGACAGAGTCTTTTCAAAGGGCAATAATCAATCAAACCAAGATATTAGATGGATTTATGGGTGCTTTATGCACTAGGATCAATGCAATTCTTAAAAGGAAAAACACACACAGAGGGCTGGCAATGTTTGTGCAGCAAATTACACCCCCTCCTCCCTTTCCTCCGCATGACAAC